TTTATTTCCTTTCGATTCCAACTATGTGATCCTCCACTACACTTCCTGACATGTGGACAAGCTTTTAGCGTCTAAAAAGCTTTGCTTTCATGGAGTATGAGTTCAGTCCAGCAATGGAGCCCGCCGCAACGCGCGCCTTTCGACATACACCCAATTCCTAGTGCCCTGCCTACTCTTTCGAGTTCTCGAACACTAACTCCGTAAGTTACCTGCGATACGCATGGCAATTCTCTGTTCAGTTTTTTTTATTTTTTTCTAAATCATAAACCAGCGTCTGTTGATAGGCCATATAATAAGAAACTAAAGCCCAATACAAGGTTGCGAATATGTATGCTTTTAGTGAACAGAAGTTTTGAGACAAGCTACGCTTTTGAGTGCGATTTGGAATAAAACACACAGGGTTCCATTTGCCTTACCACTCCCGCTGGACCACTGTAAAAATGCCTCAATGCACGCTTACATTCATTTCTTTAAGTGAAACAACATCAGGGTCGGTAGTAATCTGCTCGAAACTCCGAGTTTGAAGCTCCGCGTTAACTCAGAGATAACTCTGAGTTCCGTTTTTGAAACTCTGAGTTACGCTTATTGAAACTCTGAGTTCCGTTCGTACTTCCGAATTCCAACTCTCAAGCTCGGAGTTTCGCTTTGAGGAGCTGTTAAGCACTTTGCTGCAAAAGCGACGTTAAAGTAGGGACTCGAACCTGTATGGTCTAGCGTAAAGACCCTATCACTAAACCGCTAGACCATGACACACCCATGAACCTCGAAATTGCTTTGCCATAATGTACTCACTCATTCCATTAACACCTAGCAGGTCAAAACAAGTTATACCAAAGCCTCACTCATTTCCATTTCTATCGGGCAGTGATGGTTTATCAAGAGGATTGGTCTTTTGCGCAGCTGAAAGCTTCAAACAATAGAGAAAGCGGATGGCATACGCAATGATAAGAATTGAATATTAGGATTTGCGCACAGAACAAATCCTCTGGGCAAAGTTTGCCCTTCCATGATTTCGTCTTACTTACCGTATACCTACCGTAACCGTTTCATATGTCACCAGTGTATGTAGAGATAGATTGTCCGTAATCTATCCCGAATAACTCCAGTGTACCAAATTTCGGCTGATTCCGCCGCTTTAATTCATCTACCGTAAACCTACCGTAACCCCGTCAGATGACACTGCAGTATAATATACATGTCATATTCGTTATCGGCGCCCCGAATAACCCCAGTGTACCAAGTTTCGATCAGTTTCGTGATTTTCTCCCATCTACCGTAAACCTATCGTAACACCTCTACATGACCCCATAGTGAAAAATGGATACCATATGCGTGACCAGCGCACCGAATAACCCCCTGGGCCAACTTTTTACAAAATTTCAAAATTTTGTAAAGCACTGCGCACCACGATACCCCCATCATGCCTGCTTAAAATACGAGCAAAATGTACCCCGGAAGACTTTTTAGCTGCCCCTCTTCTTTTGCGCGCTATTTCTCTTTCTCTGACCAAACTCAGAGTTATCGCAGACACTAGTTGCGCGTTTGGTGGCGCTGTTTCTTGTGCAGGACGATTTGGACAATGTTGCGCTACTAGGAATAAACTACGTGTTAAGGAGAATCCTGCCATATCATCGCTTTCCGGATTTGATCTGTTCAAACACCTGTTAAAGGGGTCAAAAAGTTGCGCGTTAGCTCAGAGATAACTCAGAGCAGGGCCTGGCACCAGCTGGCACGGGGCAAGCTGGATATCGTTTTTGGGGCAAAAAGCAAAGGGGGTTTCGTTTTTGTGGGCGAAGACATACGCAAAATTGGCGGCGACGACCTTTTTTTTTTTTTTTTTTTTTTTTAGTCGACGTTTCGTTTTTTGGGGGATTTTGGGGATTTTTTTAGGATTTTAGGGGGGATATCGTTGAGGATCAAAGGGGACTTCGTAAAATTTCCCAAAAGTCAAGGGGGACTTCGTAAAAATTGGCAAATTTCAAAGGGGACTTCGTTTTCAAAATTCCCTGGTGCCAGCTCGTGCCGAGCCCTGACTCAGAGTTAACTCTGAGTTATAACTCTGAGTTTCGATAGGTTTACTACCGACCCAGATGTCTTCATTTTCGCTTGATTCTTCCTACTTGACATTTCACTTTCAGTGCAATGTGACTGACTCTTTCTAACGTCGAGATGTGTTGGTGGCCGATAAAACTGATCTGATAAAACGCAAAAACCTTTATGCTACTAGAAGAGAATTATATTGGGAGACTAGGATACGGGCTTCGGAGCGAAAACGGCAATCGTCTCAATGGGCTTTCCTTCGCCGCACTACTTTTCCAAGGAAATTCCTTCATGAAGAGAGAATATCACCGGTGGAAATAGGAATCGCCCAACGGAACGACTCATGCTGAGATCGACCACAAACTTCCCAGCCAATGGTGGAATTTGCTCGATGTCTCAACTACCTTGTGAAATTCCGAGGTGAACAAGTTCGAATGTGAGGCTTCAGTAGACTTGGGCCACAATCCTTCAAAAAGTCAGCTGCCTGAGCTTTTCAATCCTTTTACCTAACTCAGTTGACTTGATTAGTGCAGGACTGATATGTGTCCTAAGTGCAAACACGGTTCTTGCCACAATATCTAATCCATACTCTTCTCCAGGAAAAAATATGGGTTTTGGAACAGTCTGATGGAATATCATCTTAGGCCTAAGGCATACCTCACGCGATTCGGCCGAATCGCCACTTTTACGCGACTTGGCGATTTGCCAGATTTCTACAGATTTATCGTGCGCGCTTCTCGAACGCATAGGCGGGTAGCTTGTTTAAGTTGTTGTAAATAGAGAAGGTTCTGACCAAAGGAAGCGCACTAAGACGAATGACAACGAGTCGCTGTTACGCCAAATCGCGTAGCGACCGGAATCGCGGTCTTAGGCCTTAAGGGCCGGGCATACTTCACGCGATTGCAGTCGCGACGCGATTTGGCAATATTCCAACTGTTTATAGCTCGCTGTAAACACCTTTCAAATGTAGAGAAGATAGGGCATTTTATCAAGCCATGTAAGTTATACACACTATGCATGTGCAGTTTGCTAGTGTTGAATCTGAAGAATTCTGGCGAATTGCCAAATCGCGTCGCGACTGAAATCGCCTGAAGTATGCCCGGCCCCTTAGGCGTGGGAGTACCTCACGCGATTTCAGTCGCCACGCGTCTGGCAATTTGGCGAACGTCTTCAAATCCAATACTGGCAAACCCCAAAAGCGCAGCATGTATAACTTTTGTAAGTTTATAAAATGCCCTGTCTTCCTCCGTACATTCAGAACAACTCCTTACGATAAGTTATGAACAGTTGTAGTATAGCCAAATCGCTCGCGACTGAAATCGCGTGAGGTATGCCCAGGGCCTTATGGACTAAAACATGCGAAGAATGAAGAAAGAAACGCAAGAATTTAGATCCTTATTTCTTTCCATTAAGCACAGTAGGAGTTTAGCGGCACTACCGTTGCGCTGCTGTTATCGCTGCGAGTGCTGTGTCAATGATGTTATGACCAGGGTTGAGCGTGGGGTCAGGCGCGCCCGACCTGGGGGGGTCGTACTGGGGTAAGACAGAGGGGGGGGGGGTCGTGATTAGGAATCGAATTCGTTCGATTGAGGAGATACTACGATTAAGGTGAAGAAGAAAAGCGCTAGTTTAGTGGATATCGCGACCTCACTAGTACTGAAGGAATGAACGGTCTCAAACAGCATACTGATTGATTCCACAATCGAAGTTTCGGCCAAAACTCAAATCTTCATCTTCTACCTTGACATATTATAAATTCATCAAGGAAGCTTGCTGTGTGAAATGGGTATCATTTCCGAGCACGTCAGATTACCTCTATGAGCCCTACAAACCATTATTTACTGCATTATCTAATGTTTCTCAACGACTAAAAAGCGTGATTTTCAAACATGATTAACTTGTTTTCAAAAAAAGTCAATTTTTTTGTACTCGTAACAAAGTATTGTTCCCTACTAGTCTAATCTAAAAATCGCGCTTTGTATCGCTTGCAAATAGTGCAGTAAGAAATAATGCCAAAATTCCGACCGGCGCGTTTTTCGCCATGACTGCTTCAACTTCACGGATTACCACAAGGCCGAAACAAGTCGAATACTGTGGAATCTTCGAGGGTTGTGCTAGCGATTCACATAAAACTTGAATAAAAAAGCTTTTTCAATGATAAAGTTAATCGGGTCAGGCGCAACCCCACAAAAGGTCAGGCCGCCTGAGCTTTTGAGGGGTTGCGCCTGACCCGATTAACTTGTTTTCAAAATCTAAAAATCGCTCCATTTCTGCTATGAGTATTGAACTCAAAGCCTCTTCTTGCAATACTGCAAATTTGGAGCCAAACAATACACCCCTGTGGGAATTATAGCTCTAAAAGTTGGGCTATCCAAAATCCAAAACTTGCCGTCAAGTTGCGTGTGCTGTGCAATCGCAGAAAGTCGACCTACAGACCTCCAAAAAACAAGAACCTCCCAAAAACGGCTGATCTCTTCGGATTATCACAGCCTGAGGTCCTGGAGGTGAAGCAGGGGGGTCGTTTAGGGGCTTTCACTGGGGGGGGGGGGTCGTTTTGGAAAGACTTGTGCCTGACCTCTTGCTCAACCCTGGTTATGACTGACAGTAAAGTCTCATATTTTTCAGTGGATTCTAGTGGTTTCCATCTTTTTGGCGGCGGTGATAGCAGTAAGAGCAGTAGTAGTAACAGCAGTAATAGCGGTTGCAACAGTGACAATGATGGCAGTTTATTGTACGGTTAAATCCTGAGAGGATTTGGAAGTTATAAGAGAAAGTAGTTATCTTTCAGGTAGGTGTCAGGTAAAAGGTCGCATGTCGAATTGTGTGCTTTACCCCAGGCTTGTTTCTGCTGAGAAGCAATAGAAGAACAAGTTTAAGCTTGTCAATCATAATTGTGCAAAGCTCGATCAACGATTCTTTTCTTCTCCTAATAAACGATAGTTCATTTCGTACTTCCAACAATGGTGGACGCTTCTTTTGAGGATTTGTGGTTTGAATTTGCTGAAGAGCCAATACTTCCGTGGTCGGAGACGGCAATACCAGGTATGGGCGGAGTAACATTTGTCAGTCATTGAAACTAGATTGAAGTGAATATGCTTCTATCCGTCTTAATTGTGACTGGGTTACTTTACGCTCTGATAAGAAAAAATGAGCAGATCGAGGAGGAGGAAGAAGTCAGGGTAAGGCCATCTTCTATTTTTGTCGACTTACGGAATAAACGCAAGTTTGTCTCAAGCGCGCTCGTAAGGTAATAGCTGTGAGCCTGGCGCTTGGGAATTGCTACCCGTTTCTTCGGGCCACTTAAAAAATGACAAATGCCCGAATAAGCGAGCGGAGTCACTTTAAATTGAATCGGATATTGATCGAATAATCGAAAAGAACGTTGATGTGAAGAGGGTATCAATCTAAAAAACCTAACCTTCTATCATTAGTGATGGCGGCCTGCGGGAATGATCCCGCGCGACCGTGTCCTAGACTCTGCATCTCTTTCGTGAGCATGCTCTCTGATCATTTGCCCATACTTGGGAGCGCGGAAGACGAGTGCAATCGCTAGCTAAGCCTGGGAACATGATTAGAGAGCAAGTCTACAAAAGAGACACAGAGCCCAGGCGAGGGCGCCCAAATCGAGCCGCACGAGCCCCCATCACTCCTAATGACACAGAGGATCCATTTGAATGTACTCGACTATTCAATACTTTCCAAACTATAGATATTTGCACATCTTTTCACTATTGAGCATCCCATTCCTTAAGTGATCCATTGCATTATGTTAAACCTAACTGAATGCTCACTTGCGTATCCAAATAAAACATTGTATGAAATTTGAGATTCGATTACTGCAAAGTTGCGAGTCTGAACAATCCTACGAACAACCAACATTGAACCTCAAACATATTCGATAATTTGTTTAACAAAGAATTTCGAATATAATCTATCGTGGAGATAATAGACGAGCACACGATATCACGGCCGGGACTGAGGCCTCTTGCGATAATTGATGTCAGGCAATGTGATTTCCAACATGAAAAAGTAGTGCTTTTTAGGTGTTTGAGAGTTTGAAGAAAATGAAGTGGCACCTAGAGGAAGAGATTCTAGAGGAAGCAAAAAAACTCTCCCGAGAAGAAGATCTCCAACGTCAAAAGAAAAGCAGAAGCAAGTCTAAGTCCAAGTCCAGCCAACGTTAGAAGAAAAGCAAAAGCCATGAGAAAAAGTAGAAAGATATTTGCATGTGATAAATCAATTAGATTTGACTGGCGATGTGCATAAAATGGTTAATATACGTACAGGCAATTTTTTTTTTATAAGAATGAGCTATAACATAAATGTCCATGTCGCAGAAATCTGAACCATTCTTGCGGCCGCTCTATGCACCTCGTCCCACAGTCACTCGAAGGCGGCTTTCAGGTCAGTCACGAGGGAACGCAATCGGAAACTGATTTTGAGTTTCTAACTAAGACACCGCCCGAGCGGCAGCGCATGTGGTGCACTCGCCGTCAAGATATCCACGCCTAACCCAGACCGCGTACCGTACTTGGTAAACGACTTGCCTTGGTCTGCATGCTATGGGGTGTGGAGCCACCGCTCTCGTGATGTTTTCAGTCCTTTCCGCGTGAAGTGCAATTCTGTTTGATACGGAGGAGACAAGTGATCGAACGTTGCCTTCGTTTAGTTACCTATTTTTGCTCTATCATTGCAATTGTTCTCGCTAACAAAAAAGGCTGTGTTCGTACATGTGGCGCACTCCTGCGGCAAGAAATATGGGGAAATGCAAATGTTTGTGGATCAGTCCTACCTGCAAAGTATCTCTCACGTATCGTGCATCCCCCAGAATTGTTCCCATATGAACCATCAACTTGTATGCCTTTCGATCGTTTTAACACGTTAATCCAGCAAATTTAAGGTGCTTATTTAAACTTACATGTTAAAACGATCGAAAGATAGCCACGTTGACGGAATATGGGAACAATTCTGGGAGATGCACCATATGCGAGAGAGCTGCACTAGAATGCACTTTGAGATAAGACGACCTAGAATATTTTTGAAGCGAACCAAAGTAAACCTGCACGGCGATTGTTGTCCTTTCATACACATTTTAGTTGTTTATTTGATTACCAGTGCGTCACCTCTGCTTCGCAGAGGCTCGCACTGGCTCTACTATCTAGGCCCTACAGTCTGCCCCAACCCTAACCAGGCCAAAATCGACATGGCGGGAGTCCGCGCCGCGAGGGTTTCGCGCCACATCTGCGGCTAGCTAGTCTGCTCTCTCCTCGATCTCTTCACTCTCTGCACAGGGCGCGTATGCAGCGCAATCCGCAATGCGCTCCGAGCGCGCAAATTCAGCCGACGGTTCGGCCTGATCCCGATTGGGGCAGACTGTACTCATTCTCGCATAATGATGGCATTGGTACTCACCGAGCGATGCCGACTATCACGAACAAAATATAAACAACTACTCATTCTGAAAGCTTTTTTATGTGAAATCGGTGATTTCGCGTGGATGAGACTTTTTGCAGGAAAACAAACGCAAATTTTTATAGGTTTTTGATTTTCCCATGGTCTCGGCACTTGCAATAAAAACAGCAGTCACTGTGAGCTTCATCTTTGTGCAAAAATCTCGTCAAATGCTCTGGTAAAACCTTGGCAAGTTGACCATTTAAGCAACTATTACTTTTTGGCGCCGTTTTTGTAAAGTAATGAACTTTTGATCACTTTCTTGGGCCTAAGTTCATGGCTTGCACATTTACTTGGCAAAAACATCCATGACTCTACAAAAAGTGGAATTACGGACCCAATTTTGCGGCCCAAATGCAAAGTGAATCCGTTTGACACGCAGTTTCTGAGGGATCCACTCAACGAATCTGCTCGTGCTTTTGCGTGTTGGATTTTCATGCGGGTAGCATGCGCTAAGCAAAATTTGAGCCCAGGAGGTTGGCTGGAACTCGCGCTATGAATTTCGTGACAGACAGACATTCACACACAAAAACACGTAAACACCCTTAGCGCGTTATTATAGTAGGATTTATTCAAAGATACATCGGGTAAATGATGTACCACCTCACAAATGAGATTTTAGAGAGACAAATAGATTATGCAAAAAGGTATGAAGTGGCAGTAATAACTCTAATTTTGTCTCACTTTCGCATTGCATCCAGGTAACAAATCTTATAGAATTCTGGCATACAATCTTGGGAAGAAATAGACAAAGCTCTTCAACGGCTGCTGATAAAAGCCATAAATGACGATGGCTGAAAGTGTAACTATTGACAGAGAAAGATGCTGGGTGCAATTGACGGTTGCATGTAAATAATGATAGGGTAAGAATTTTGGGTGGTGTTACGAATTGGAATTCAGACCAGTTTAAAGGCACCGTCCACCCTAAATTGGGGTAGCTTTTGGCAGCATATGATATTGGGACCCCCTATCAAGCCAATGCCCAAGTCGCGGCGCAAAATGTCGCTTCGGAAGCGAGAAAATCGTTCCGAAATAACGAAGATGCCCGAGGACCCTATTCCATGCCCGCCCCTCCCCATCCATGCCCGCCGATTTGTGCGCGCCCATCCAATCACCGTTCCGGAAAGCCGCCTGTGGGTTCTCCAAAACGGGAATTGTCGAGGTTTAGCGGATTCTCGACTTCATATTCGGATTCAGGGACCTGGGAAGGCCCTAAAACGGCATAAACCTGGAAGTCTAGAATCTGGGTGGATGGTGCCTTTAAGTAGCTTACACATTATCACGAGCTTCGAGTACATGCATCATAAAGCAGAAACAGTACATATCGCTCTCAAAATAACGAAGTGTTACGGAGCTTGTAACAAGACAGTCTCGAGTGGTACATCAGCAGTCTTCTGTCGATCCCTCCATCGGACCATCCATTGATTCATTCATCCATATGCATACTCAGTGACGTACCCAGGATTTCGGCTCGAGGTGGGGGCGACAAGAAAAAATTTTCCGATGAAGGCGTGGCGTCAGCTACGCACTCCAAAAATTTTTTTTGGTATACTTGCTAAAAGTTTCGCGGGCTTAAAACCCCAAAATTCCAGAAAAAGGGGGCGTGGCGTTAGCCGCGCCCCCGAAAAAATCTATATATATATATATATATAAAGCAGAAAATTTGTATGTTTGGCACATTTCCCACAGTCATAAAGAAGAGCGGTGAATAGAAAGCGAGCCCAAGACGAATCTGAATTAAAAGGAGGATTTCGCTACCTGAGAGGTCAAGCACAATGGACTGGCTCCAAACGGGTGGAACCCGGGATGCCAGCTCGTTTTTTTATAAGGCTAAAATGAATTTTTTAAAAATTTTAGAAAAATATTTTAATTATTTACAAGTGCAGACAAGTCATTTGCACAATTTTATAACCCATGTGAATAACATTCAAAAATTTCGCGATCTGTTCTCGCGGGGGGGGGGGGGGGAGGAGGAGCCCCCCCCCCACCCTCCCTTGGTACGCCAATGGCTTACATACATACCAGTGGTGGTCACTGATTTCGTCTGGAGGCGACAAAAAAATTTATCCGTGGCGCTAGCAACGCATATGAAAAGGGTTTTGAGATGTTTTCCAAAATTCTGACGGGTTCATGACCCGAGAATTTTAGAAAGAGGGCATGGCTGCAGCCATGCCCCGAATAAATTTTATAAGGCTAACTTGATATTGGGAAATTTTTGAATATTATTCTCATTATTTGCAAGTATAAACAAGTCGCTTACATTCTCATGGCTCATAAGGATATGTAGTGTAAATATGGCAAATTCCGGACACACTCTCAGATGAGGGGGGGGGGGAGCCTCGATCCGCCACTGATACAGACATGCATACTTACATACACATGTCAGTTGAGTACTCCATGCACTCCGAATTTGAGCAGTGAGTTGCAGGCGCAAATGTAAAGGACTCAAACATTACGTACCTCATGGAGCTTCCCTACTGGGGTTGATTTGAGGATGACTATCGGGTCAGTCTTACATTGTTTATTTTCTACTGCAGTTTCGAAGTTTGCAGTAATCACTTTGGAGCTTCTGCGCCTTTTCTAGCGTCCCCAGATGTTCACATCAGCTCTTGGCAGTGCCAGGTTGTCCATGCGCCCAGCAGCAAGATCCTGTAAATATCACATTATTTGGAGAACATCTTAAAAACAAACCCGCTATTTCTTTTACTGGAACTTGTCCTTGCATTGATCCCGGAGGTTTGCTGATCGTCTCATGGAGATACTCCTTTTGCCTTCCATCTTTTCCTTCATCCACTAAATACATGACGCCCATCTTTTCTTCCTCATCGCTATTAACAGCGTCGTTCACAGTCACCGTGGCTACGGTCTCTGTACTTTCGGCGGGGTAAACGGTATACCGTTTACCCCGCCTCAGCCGTGTAAATCTCGCGCGTAAAATTCCTCTTGTTTTCCAGTAAAAGCTTTCTGAGGTTGCACCAGAAGGGATTAATGTTGATTGAACTACCTGATGGAGCATAAGCGGCTGCAAGGATGTGTAGACAACTTATGCTGCTCTTTACGTCCATCATACAATCGCAAGTGTAGGCTTGAAAACACGCTTGATAGTTACCATAGAGTCAATGGTTGTGCAGCTTGAATAAGAAAAAACCCAGATAAATGAATGGACTTGATATGCATATGACTTTTTTGTCTCAAGAAAAATTCGCACAGTATGCCGTTTCATTGTTTTCTATCCTCCAAAGTCCAGAAGCAGCATATCACGGCGTTGCTGATGCTTCTCGACAGCGAGCTTGTTTACTTGATGCTATCACAGTCTATATCGTCCTTCTCCCACTCTTCTTGCAGTCTGATAGGTTTTACATGTAAGAAAACAGATAACAACATTATGAAGTAGAAGGCATCACTTTTCTAGTCACCTGGCTGGGAATGTGTGCGAGTGCACAAAAATTTGGAATCCCGGATGAGCTCCGCGGGCATGCCGGTGCCGTGCCGCACACAAAGGCAGACGCCTATAAAATAACGCTGGCGTTTATTTTTTTTTCGTGTTTTGATCGTACTTCTTTTGTTTCTAACCATCCTTAGCGGCAATTTATCTTTGATTTGATGCCTCACGGACGTCGTACATCGCCGAAAAAAGGCCAAAAGCGCTCAAAAAACCCCAAAAAAGCCTAAAGCGCCCGAATACAGCCCAAAAACCCCAAAAGCGCTAGAAAGAGAACATCGTTGATAACATCGTTGCCGTTGAGGAAGCGCTCAATATCTTACGCAGGAATTCGAGATGCAGACACTTGCTTTGAATTTCAGAACCATCAGGTACCAACCATGCTTGTGAGCACTTGGCATCAGTAGGAAAAAGAAGTTTGAACTAGACAAAGAGCTGGAGAGGACGAATCAGATAACCACGAACAATACAAAGACATATTAGTTCGGCTCCATGAAAAGCTAAGATACCATGCAGTTTTCAAGAAACTGCAGTTGCTAATTGTAAGTTACATCAAACTCTGTTTGATCCGGCTTGAAACTTCTGGATTCTGACATTTTTTTGACTTGCAGACGACGGAAAATCAAGCAAACAGGCTCGGTCGCGAAATCAACACGCATGCTCTAGCGCCAAAACTTGCGCGCAAAAGGAGTCGATCCGGCTTTTTCCAGAATTTTGGGCTTTTATGGGCTTTTGAGGGGGGGCCTTTGGGCTTTTTTCGGCGAAATATGACGGATCCCTTAGGAGCTATCCTTTACTTTCAGAAAAGTGAGAACTGTGGAGTCAAAGGGATGGAGTTGTCAGTGCGTCTGTCTCTGCATTGCGAGCACTTTTATCCGTAACTACATAGTAGAGTAGTTCCTAAATATTAAATGTAACTGATAGTCCCTAAGTAAGTCTTATTTTGAACTTACTATTACGGCGTCTGACAAGAAATGAAGCATAATTATTGATGTTAATGAAATGAAACCTAGAAGTCAAACGTACGACTTGTCTGAGGACTACTCTACGCAGTTATGAACAAGAGATAGGCACACTTGCAACTAAATCCCGTACGGCTGCTTGTTGGGAAACGGAACTTATCTACCCAGCAAAGACTTGCCGCAACGTAATTATAGAGTTCATGAACTGCCAACAACGTTCTTAGCACCCAAATTGTCCATGATTTTACCGAGATTTCAACTCAAAGTTCAGATGCGATATTTGGCCAATTGGGATGAAAATTGGTACATATATAGGGATTTCCTATCATGATTTTTCCGAATATGTTAGTGATTTTTCTCGAAATCTCAAAATTTCACATGAAATGTTTTTTCCATATATTTCACTGCTTGAAAAGATTTAATCAAGGGTTTTAGTTATGTTGGTCCCATTGCTATTATACTTGGGTCCGAATCGAATAGAAATTCGATCATTCGAATAAAACATTCGAATATATTCGTATTCGAAATTCGATATTCGGAGTTCTTCCATTTTCGAATAATATTCGAAACTCGAATAATCAAAAAACAGGGTTTCGAATAAAATTCGAAAACTCGAATAATCAAAAAACGAGGTTTCGAATATTATTCGAAAACTCGAATAATCAAAAAACGAGGTTTCGAATATTATTCGAAAACTCGAATAATCAAAAAACGGGGTTTCGAATAGATTTTATTCGAATGTTTTATTCGAATGTACTCTGTATTCAGATTATTCGACTTTGTTGCAGAGCCAAATGCTGAGTATCAAGCTCACTTCGTCCGCGTTTTTTTTCGCAAAACTCGGTAATGCATCTTTTGCAACCGGTACACCTTTGAACTGTATGGAGAGTCGCATTCTTCCGAGTGCTTGCGACAGTAAAAAAATCATATGTGGATTTTAATTGATGCTTTTTCGATCAATGAGATTGTTCGCACTGCTACTGGCACCAAATCAGCAAAAAAGATATCAAATTTAAGCTCATGTTCTGAGTTCATACTGAATTGAAATGGCTGTTCTTCTTTCTTTGCATTGCTCATGCTTGGTACGCAAAGCCCACACTAATGAGCACTCTTGTTCGCATAAATTATTGCAAAACTGCCTATTCTTACCTTGGAGTTTTTTGCGAATTGGTGTATATTGCGTAAAGGACATCGCAGTTGTAGTGCAGGATTAGACGGTTTAGATCGCCGTACGCGATTTGCTAGTTACGAGATGTCTTCAGATGTAATGGCAGCTTACCACAATTGTTTAGCGTGTACAACATACTAAAAAGATAAATGCCCTGCATTCTGCACTTTCAAAATAGGTTTTGGACATTTGAGTGTTGCCATACCACGTCGCACTGAAATGCCTGCAGTATGCCCGGAAATAAAGTTAATTCTGGTGTACATCAGTCTCTTTCAGACCATATGAAGAAGAATCTTTTGGGCACAGCATAAAAATTTATATCGACTGCTTTTTTAGATCGCCCAATAATGGGTAAAATATGACTTTTTGTTGATGTATAGACTAGTTGCCGACCGACTTTATCGACTTTTGGAAAATCTTGAGCTGCGGGGCTGGGAGTTGGTACAAAGGGGTAAGTGAGGGTGCTGATTGAAACCGAAATCTATTTTATTGATTTCAGCAATTTTTGGAAAATTTTGAGCTAGGAGTTGGTATAGAGGATACTAGGGGGGGGGGGGGCTGATTATGATTGGATCGGCTTTAGCCAGATATGTCGGCATGTTTGAGATGTGATTGCTTTAGTTATTCGATAAATCATTCGAATATTTATTCGAAATTCGACTTCCAATGTTCGAATATATTCGATATTTATTCATTCGATATTTTTGATTTTCCGTATTTATTCGAAATTCATTCATTCGATATTTTTGATTTTCCGAATTTATTCGATATTCGTTTATTCGAAATTTTTTTCGAATTTATTCGATATTCATTCATTCGATGAAAAATTTTCGAATTACCCAAGTATAATTGCTATTTTAAATTTGAAAGTTAAAAACATGAGTTTTCACATTTTCAATTCTGAATTTTGAATTAAATAAAAATTTACCTTGGAGGTTTTAGTTCTTGAGAAAACCAACAGCATAAGCGGCCACGCCATTAGAGAAACCCCTAAACATCAATTCCCACCTCAATCAGCCGAAAATCACTACTGAACTTTGGGTTCAAAATTTCAATGAGGTGTCGTTTCGCGTATTATAAGATGAGAGCAAGCTACTGTGTGAAAATTAGCTCCCTTACGGTCCAAACTAGGTGCTAATTAGCTTACTGACAGTTCATGACCTCTATAACTAAGCAGAGGCAAATCTTTGGGTAGAGAAGTTCCCTCACCCCATTTGCCACGAAACTTGTCAAGGAGGCGGGATTAGCGTACATTAGCCCTTTTTCCGCTTTTTCCGAAGCGATTTTCTCGCTTCAAAATTCACCTATTTCAATCAGACTTGTACTGTTGCATCAATCAGGAGCCTTATTCCCGCACTGCCAAAATCTCATCCCCTCCCCCAAGCTGACCTGGACAATGCCTTTAAGGCAACTACTCAATGAAGAATAGCAGCTGTGGGAGGTTTGGAAAAAAACGAAAAAAATTAGAAAAAACTTTGCTTCAATTTAAATTGTGTACGCTCCTGTGTACAACTACAGCACAGACGGGCCCGCTGGCCTCGTCCGGGACTTTTAATTTCTGTGCACTCGCACGTGGCCAGGTAACAAGAGAAATGATCTACTTCTACGTCGACTATATCATGATTCCTTTCCTCGCCGTTTTGTACAATCGGAGTCAAGCTACACGAGGCTGTCAATTCTGACATTTAAATTTGTACCTGTGCTTCGCTATTCTGAACTTAATTCTAGGCTAACCTTTCTCTGAAAATTTTGCGTTTCTCAGACGAAAAGTCTTGAAAAATATCTGGAGTGTACTACTTCGTCATACAATTAAAGAAAGCTGCAGATGACCAAGACTTTCTGGAATCATTCTCAATTCAAATCATTTTTAACTGAAGGGTTTGCATTTACCTAATAAAATCATGATTCGATAAAAAATTGAACAAAAAATAAGAACACTCACGATTTGCATTGGCTATGCTAAATTAGCTCCAGTGAATTTTATTACACGATAAGGGAAAAAATGCATTAATCACTACTTATCGTCCTGCACAATCTGAATAAGTCAAACTCAAAAAGAATTAATCACCGATAGGGGAACTAAAGGTTAAAGGTTGCAAAAATTGAAATTAAAGTGATCGCTTAAATAATTTCTATTAATTTCTCAATTAAAACTTGTGTCGATTCTCAGTCCCAACTTAGAGTTTGCCAACAATACTAAACCGATATTCATCGATTACGAAAAGTAGCCCATGTCTTCCACCCTGCCCCGAATTCTATGTGTGCGGAGTATGTTCTGAATCGTTTATAGACTAATTCTTCTATCTTAAACATATACAAACATACGTACATACACGCAAATGGACATGCTTATGCATCTTACTACTGCTTGACCAAGTCTGGCTTGGGGTGGTAGAAAAGAGCAGAATGCATTACGACTTCAGAAAGGTTTCCTATAAGTGATGGCTGGTATTCTCCCACAACATCGGTAGCTTTGCCTTCCAGTACTAATAAACCATGTAAGCGTTGTTCTACCTAAAAACAGCTTCGCAAATCATCCTCGTATTTGCGTTGATGGTGCTCACCATAAGACATAATGAACTACTGTGAGATTCAGCCAGTACAAACTGTATCACTCATTTATGTACCTGTTGTTGCTCTTTCTTCAGCTCTTGTCTTCTCTTTTCCATCTCCTCCATTTTTTGCTTCCTTTCTTCAACGTAAAGCTGATGTAGATTCTCTAATCGCCTTTCCTTCTCCTGTTCAACACGAGCTTTCAGTTGAGCTTCAGCCCAAGCCTAGAAAAAAGGGATTCGCTGTCTGGACTTCTGAACTACATCATACCTTTCGCGTTTTGACGTGCTCTGGCTGCTTCTGCACATGGTAGGCGATTTTTAACTGACTTATAACATTTTGGAAAGCCTCTTCATTCCGAGCTCTAAAATAATACATGAGTTCTATATCCCACAAACGCGTTATTCATTAGCTACCTCAATAGACGAAGAGCTTTTCTCCTCGCATTGATCACTAACCATATTCTGTGTGTCAACCAGGTTGGCTTCTAAAATAAAGTAACGCATTTGTAGCCATAAAAGATTGAGAATTTGGTGAGCGCAAATCGACAGATTTCATTAAGAGTACAAGCTCTTCGAGATTGAAATCAGTAACATGCGCCAACAGAAGCTATACTCATTACTATGATCGCAGAATGTGCATGACGAAAACTCAATAATGAAATCATGATTGCATCATGCAATGTATAGGGCTATGACAGATTGTTTGTTCTTTCTCTCAACATCAATATTGAATCATTAGATGCTAGCTATTCAACATTCAAAGCGTTGAAAAGTACCGAAATGATTTGCGTTTGCCGCTCAAGCCTTTACAAAATTTGGACTGCGCTACCGCAGCAAAACCAGCTGTCGCAATCTAGCAAAGCCCTATTTATCATTCAAAAACATACTTCTCTTATAAGCCCCATGGAAACGTTCTCAAAACTGAACGGACACATTGAATGAATGAAAATATGCATCTGACCTTTGTAGTCTGCTTCGAGATGTCATTCACAAGCAAGGACCAATGCCGGATCAGCGCAGTCATCCATGCGACTATAAATAAAATTTTTATACCATGCTTACGATGCGGCACGCTTAAAAATGAGAGGAGGGCAATATCCTGACATCGGATAGGAATTACAATGGGGAAGAGTCTGGGGAAGGAACACGTAAGGAACACGAATAAACTTGGAATGCTAGTTTCAAAGTAGTTAGTCAATACTTCGCTCTAACATTCTGTCAACAAGTTGCCAAATTTGATGCTCGAAAAAACCCCCACAAGGAACTTTCCCCGAAAATTTTTTATGCCTCATACGTTCAACTCGGTCAGTCCGATTGAAAATAATAGTTGATCTGCAGAAGCGGCTAGGTAGCACCACGCAAGGATTCAGAAATGAGATTCTCTGTATTTATGGTCACATAATGAGCTCAATAAGCTGCTGAAAATAGCTTACAAGGAACATTTGCAGAATATATGGATGGATGTGGGATCCATATACTAGGCTGTTGCATAAGTTCTGTCCGATTTGAATTTTTGAGTTTAAAATGTCATAACTTCTTTCAGAGTCAACTTTTTTCCAAGGTCTTAGTTTCTATGTGTTGAGCAGTCCCTTGGCTAAAAAATGCATATTGAGATCTGCGCAAATCTTTGTTAAGGAAGAACCAAGAATGCAAAAACTTCGCAGCGTTTTTCTTCGAATCTGTCTTTTTTGACATGGTAACGCTCCCTTATGAAAATTGATAGGCATCTTTTCTAATAATGGATGGATAGAGAAATTTTCGTAGATTATTATGCAACATAAAAGAGCCCATAGGGTTTGCGCTGCCGAGAGATTTTCTTGACCGAACAAAAAATTAGCCACTTTTTGACCTCCCTTCAGCACATGTGTGCATGCCTATTTATGAACTACGAACGTTTTACAACTGACGTGAGCGCCGAAAAGGAATTGGTGGATGGGCCCTGTTAGCTCTTGCTTTGCCCTAGCACCTCCAACTTTGAGCTTGTCGATTACTTCTATTCGCAGAAAGTTATTGCTTGTAAAACATCTATACCAATGATTTATGTTCGAGGATAAATTTCACTAGCAAGACGTATTCTTCATGGGACCGAACTTCTGCATATACTAGCATTCCATACCTTTATTCCGAAGCCAATGAAAGAACCTGACTTGAAGGGCGCATTGTGGAGATATCCTCGCAAGGGCATATTTCTAGGGATAGAACGTACCTCGGCCACTTAGAGATTTTAGGCCTGTGATCTCCGTACACTAAGAATTTTATTGAATTCTGGTATGCTTTAGAAAGCGCAAGGAAAGCACTTTTCAATGATACCAACCGTATCGAATTAGAGATGAAATTCTCTTAGAACAGCTGCTTCAAACATGAGGCAAAAAAATCGGACAGAACTTATGCAACAGCCTAGTAGAATCAACTGTTACGGCTGCTCCAACGCTCAGTTAGAGCGGCGCTGAGTATAAGCACATTTGACAGGAAATTTAATGCACAGAGTGCTAGGCATTTAACAACCGCCTATATGAGGATATAAAGATTCTGTTCCAGTTACGCGATCAGTTTTTCGACCCAAAACTACAGAGGCGTTCAAGAGATATCAAAGACAGATGCAATCAATGTTCCCCAAAAGGTTAAGGCAAATTTTTTTCTAACTGCCCAAGTCTCGCTGCATAAGTTTTAGCTCGGACACTCTGGGTCTTTCAATTTCTCGCCATACTTCGTCTGCGCATAATCCAAATTGAAAGCAAACAACTAGCGTTAATGACCAACTTACTTTTCATTTCCAGGCTGGCTTCATCTAGTGAATGTTGATTCACTTTGCCAATCAGTTGAGCTTTCCATTCACTCGACATGTCCCTTCTGGTGCCGAATCCGATACTAAAAGCAATCTCTCTTGTATCGCTTTGGTGAACCACAGTCAAAAAGACAGTCGTCAATTACGTAAAGCAGCTGTATATCGACGTATATTAGGGGGAGGGAGGGGGCCGACGCCGCAATTCGACTAACCATTACAAAAGCCACTATCCCTGGCGCAACGTTACTAGTAGCAAGAGTCATGTACCTGCCCCCACACCCAGCACAAATCTCTAACGCCAAAGCGAGGCACAAAATTTGAAAAAACTCCAATAAAATATTCCACTTCAGGCCTCGGAAGGCTGCCGAATAAACTTGAAAAGAAACCTGTATATCTTCTTGACACTTTCTGGAGCATCCTTCAGGATGTCAAGGTCTCTGTACTGAAAACGAGGTTTTGAAAGATCCAAGTCGGGCAAGCCAAACTTTTGCTGGTCCGCCACCTAAACATGAAGCAAGACATCTTCAAATTATAACTCAAGGAAAGTATTACCAAATTATCAGCGGCTTTCAGTCCCAGATCTCGTTCCGACCCAATTTTTTCGTAGTAGAGTTTTCCAAGGGCATCAATGTAGTTGTCATCTTGAATTTATTTTTTAACAAGAGCCGAATAACAACCGTTACTGGATAGATCCTCACATCATCTCGTCAAACATGAATAGTTTAAATGGTCACAGCGTAGGTATAGTCGATTCGTTGACCGCACGGACTGACATCACTGGGGAGTACGCGCCGCGAGGTAAAAGGCTTGCCCCAATACACAAATTCGCCATTGTACAAGTCGTGCTCCTGCAACATTTCAGCCGCGCCACGCGTGGTCCTCAGCGCTTGAGCAGTCCGTGCGATCGAATCGACGATAAGAACTTTGTCTGCGTTGGTTTCCAGAAACGAGGAAGAAAACGGTATCAATTTTGAGTAGTAATAATGAAAAAAAGCGGAAAATTTTTACCTAGGGGTAATTCCCTCGCTGCTTTTTCGAAGTAGTCCGGGTCCTGTTTCGCAGGGTCAGTCACTTTCTTATGAATATTGAAGAAGGTGGTTCGTCCACGACAAGAAGCTACCGAGGTATGCAATGCGCGACGTACAACTGGGATCATCTCCCACCGAAATATCTGCAAAAAGAGACATTGACGGCTATATAATCAAGACAAAAGTTCATACACTATCCTATAATATTATTAGGCTATTCTTCCTCATCATACTTACATCTACAAACCTATTGAGTGCAGGCTACAAACTTTCTTATTAAGTAGTTTGATCTTTCGAGAAACCAGCGCTTTATTTCTCATCATTTATTTTATAGCAAGACACGCTTGTTAAAATCACGTTCTGCCTCTCAATTTCATGCAGATGTATTAACATTCCCAAGATATATTCGTAAATACCGACTGTTCCAAACTCCCTGTTCTTTACTGCTTTTTAGATTGTTCACAGTGATTTAATACCCGACGGTTGATGTTCCTACAGTAAAGATACTTGCTCGAAAAATGCCAACCCTGCAGCCCGACGTCACTTACCGGGCGCTCACTTTCTCCCTCTCCAAACCCTAAATGACACCATAGAATGTCACCATCTATATTATCAGAACTCGCCGGAATCTTATCATGGAAGATGTCATTCGAAGATTCTGACACCTATCCAGAATGGAAAAAATTTGACGAAAACCTTACGAAAATACATAGCACAAAGTTACCAGAAATTATGCTTCTTTATTCAGTACCCACTCAAGAAATCATTGAAGCTGAAGGAAATAAGGAAGTTACAGGTTTTGAAGATGCTGATAGAAGTCTTCATAAGCAAACGACCATCCGTTACATCAGCTTGTGTAGCAAACTTAAGTGGTGCAATACTAGTAAACAGCTCGAAAGAACTACGCATACTATTGAAATCATGCTGAAGTGCAGTACAGATCGTAAAATGACTGATACAAAAAACAGCTGAACATTCCAAAAGGCAGCGTTCAAGCTAACTCTCGACTTTCCATCAAGTACAGCTTTACAAATACAAGAAAGCTTACCCGGACGAAGTCGCAAAATTTATACAACAACAAGGGGAAACACGTGCTCTACCGCCACAGTCAGAGATTACTGTTAGAAACAGCTAACCTTAAAGGTAACCAATAAGAGAATGTATGCCTAATTCAGTTGCTTGTCTTTACGACTTCATAAACTCAAACATAATTGAGAATTTAAAGTTACCCGTGATTTTTTGCGGACTGGTAAAAAAAAGAGATTTTGCTAAGCACGGTTAGATAGTACCGAAAAATGACAAATATTCGGAAAAATGGAGGCATTTAATTTCGGTGATGGGTATTGATCCCCTCAAGCGTACCATAGCTCCCTCCCACTCATGCGCTAAGTCACGAAAATGAGCTTCAAAAATTTAACATCCCGCCCATCCGTTAATAGACGTCAATAATGGGCTTCTGAAACGCATTTTCAGAATTTACTGCATGAACTGACAGATAGGATTTCAGTTACGGTGCATCTGGATCACTCACTACGTAAAACTACCAAAAACCGAAAAGGTGCATGCTACTGCCTCTAAGACAGAGGACACGCAGTTCAATGAGATGAAAATGTTCAATGGCCTTTTTGGATCCACTTGGTGTAATTTACGCCATATTTCACCATGTTCACATTGAGCAGTTATTACAGCCTCTTGCGATTACTATATGACCAAGCCTATGCAGAACAAAGAAATTTCCTTGCGAAGAAGAAGATTATGGCCTCATAAGCAGGAACAAGCAAAGTTTATAGAAAACATACAATAATTTTGTTCTGTAGACGGCAAGATACCTGTAAAGAAATTCTGTTATAGTATAAATACATCTTTATCTTACAAATAATGAGAACTCTTCAAAAAGTATAGGAGTGTATAAAACAATCGCAGATTCACAGGGGGCGAATATATCATTCCAAAATGTTATCGCAGCTTGTTACGCTCAGTAAGTACTATGATCCGCAATATGTTTACCAAAGCCGCGATGAACTAAAAAATTGTAAATAGAGGAGCAATAATCCGTTGCAAAGATGATATGAATTCCGAGCGTTCTAAGAATGTTGAGGCTTACAAAAGGAAAAAGAACCACAGAACGAATAGCAAGGCACCTCATCTGACCATTTTTCACAACTGTGAACCATCTCCAACAACACATGGCAACTTTGATGTGTCGAGCTTAGGGATATGGTCATTTGCAAAAGAAATAGTTACGAATAGTTCTAGAAAGGTGATCAAGTGAAACTAAATGTACTTGCACAATCTACAAGTGAATTTAACAGAAACTGCGCTGCTGTTATTGCGTGTAGTGAATAAACAAGAAGCATCAACGATCAACGAAACAAAAAAATTGAAGACTAAATGATATGGGCATGCACCACCAGTGAAGGATCACATATTTTCATACTGATCGATGCGACGCTTGGTGTTTCCACCCCGGATCTGACGCAGAGTCTTGTACTTGTCGCGACCAGCCCGCTTATTCTCCATATGTAGAACATCATAGTCAGTGATAGCACGCTCGTCCTTCACCACTTCGAGCTCTCGAGTAAGCATCTGAAAACGAAGTCAATTATTCTTTACGTCTAATTATCGATGCCTGCTGCCCAGAAAAGAATTTATTATACAAGGGAAGAGGAAAATCCGCCCATGTGCTGGATGAGTATAAAGATCTGGCGAAGGAGGCAATAGTACCACAATTACTTCATTTACTAAGATCATGTAAATAAGGATGGGGCCGGGTTGAACAGCTTCACCATTGTGCACCGAAGTGCGCGCATGCAGCTTGCTCCTACAATTCTTCCATAATTTCACCTCTACAACTACGAACTGTTCGCCAACAGAAAAAAGATTATCGCATGCCTTGTGCCGCTTTTGATGATCAGATCATGAGGAATTTCATATCCAAGACACAAACTACTAAAACTATAGCGTTCAGAAGCCGCAATGTTCTAATCTACATGCTGCAGGCTAGCACAGGAATCTGATCATGAGTAAACACAAAATTTCAATCAAAACAGGTGATATGGATTCCCTCAACTAGCATGAGAATGCAAAGACTCTAAGAGAAAAAAAAAACGATGGCAGTTTTTCCTATAAATAAAAGCTCCACAAAAGATATACCTCAAGTTTTGTTTTTATACTTTGATTTTGTTCGGCTGCGGTGATACGATCGAGTTCACGTTGGGGCACATGCTGGTCAGCTTCGTTAGTGAGTTCTGTAGTAGCGTGATATATGAATACCATACTTTCCAAGAATTACAAATACCCACCAGTTATGCCGTTTTCGTCCTCATCGGTATGATTATCCTCACGCGTGAGCATTGTATGATGGATCTGAATGTAGAACAATTTTGAGGTGATCGTGGAAGTTCAGGATATGTACGTGGGTGGTATGATTCACTACAGATTGCTGCATAACCGCTTCACGACGAGCCGCCTCCACCTCATCCTGTAGACGATGTGTTACTTCCGTTTGGCGTTGAACCTCGGTACGCATTTTTTGCACCTACAAAAAACATTCTTTGTAACACATTATCCCTAACTGAAATATGTGCATACCTCATTTTCACGCTGAGCAACTTCGTCACGAAGTCTTCGCCTTTCTTCATCACTCATCATCTTTTCTGACTGAAGCTGAGCTGTAAGCTCACGCAACTCACTCTCCTTGTTTTCAAGAGCTTCTTTTGCCTAAAGGAAAAAAGCTAATAAACAAGTATTGAATATCTCTGCTGAACTCACCAGCTGCAACTGCTTTAGTTGCATTTCAAGGTTATGAATGGTGTTTTGAGCCTCAAGCAATTCTCTCTTTGCACGTTCCATATCATCTGCCATGCGTCGCATGCGTTCTTCAGCTTCGCGCTGACGAGCTTCTGCTTGCTCACGGGCAGACATCTCCTGCAAAATGACGTAAACTCTTGAACCATCTTCAAGATTCATCGTCCACCAATGCACAATAAATGCTCGAAATGGGGACACTGTCAAATCGCATAAAACGGCTAAAACGGCTACTACTTTGCAAGCTCTTTTGTCTCATTTTATAATTGTGTATAAAGCTGTTCAATACCTTGTTAAGCCTTTCCTGCTCCGCTTGCTTCAGCGCTCTTTCTTCGCGTGCTTGTTGCTTCATTTGCTGCACCTGAAGAACGGAAGGAAATGACTAAAAGACGACAGCTGTAACGAAACTGTTTTACTAAGAAAAAACAGGTATGACTCAACATTTACACTGCTTACTTAGTGCAGCCAAATTCCCTCAAGATCTATCGTCATACTTCATAACTGGTTACTCCAACTCATAACCGAATTCAGGAGTCAATGTAGGGGGACAGTACTGATGTTGTCCAGTCTTTCAGAAAAATGAGAATAAACCTCCTTAAATGGGCAAACACTACCAGCGAACATTTATCATGATAAGGCCCGCATCAGGACAAATGCGCTCACACTTTTCAAACGTTCTTTGACTGATTAGTGCGACTGCGTCAGCTTCAACATTTGACACAACGGGTCGTAAACACCTGATAACGATCTATCTGTACAGGTCCATCCAAATCGAAAAAAAACATGATTACCATCAATTAACTAGATCATCGTGCTACCACTACTGATACTGACGCAAGCAGTGAAGTTTTACGTGCGCACGATGCGATTATTATGCTTAGCTGAGTAGCTAATAATGATCAATTTTTACTAATTGACTGTTCGAAAAACCTGATCCTGCTTCTTTCAAATCTGATATTTCAACATTATATACCCAAACAAAATTCACCTCGATAGTGTCTGGCTTGCGGCGGCGCATGTAGAGCTCGTGATTACCCATACACAAAGCTAGGATGCGTTTGTTGATGCGAAGTCTTGGGGCGTAGAAGACAAAGTCCTGAAAAAATGGCATGCATAGTATCTTCTAGCAGATTCCAAATAACGAATATATTCTCAATTAAAAGCCAAAGTTTCTGCAACATACAAATCAGGTTGCGAAAAGAGAACTACGCTCAGCTACTTTAGTATGAGTAGAGCTGATTTTGATATAAGAACGACTGCTCTGCCGTCCGATCTGTTTTACCAGGCTAATTCTGATCGTTCCAATTCAATAAACACTTACATTCGCTTTTTTATCGATTGGCTTGATCACAAACTTCTTGTCGTTGAACGATATATTGCGTATTTCAGACCATGGGAATCCAACCTTCAACGTTAAATATTAGTCTCGAACATTCAACAAAAATCTCAGCATTCAAATGACGAACCCTTCAAACCATCAACAAAACAACCAAAAATACTTGAAAACAATAGAAGTGGTAATTCATGTTTGCGAATCAAAGTAAACCTTTGGCGACAGCTTGTCAGATTTTTCGTAGATGTTCAGGCCCAATGCGTCCACTCCCAGATATAGATCGGTGCCTTTCTTATTCCGGATGTCAAAATACTGCAAAAAAGCAGTTTTTTGCACATGAATGCAAGAGGTAGCAACGCTACGGTATAATAAACCAAAAACTATGGTCAACAATACTTACATTAACGCCATACATCTCAAGATCCTGCGCAAGTTTTAAGTATTCAAGCATTGCTTGTTCGCGACTTGTTCCTTTGTGATCAGCCCACCAGGTCATAATTCTTTTTTCCCAGTCGTCAGAGCTCATTTTGAACTGACCTGCTACTCGTTGCGGAAGCAACCTTGAACGAACATACTAATAAAGAGAGTGAAATTCCGAATCTTACCTATCTGCAGTAAGACAACCCGGTTTATGGGTTTCCGGTTGGTAGTCGCCATACTTGGCCTGCATGGCAAATGAAGCCAACAACACGGATGTCTCTGGTGAGCAATATACTTCATCGGATAATATCGCATCTTTGACTTGGAGATAGAAAAGACGCTGAAGTAAACGCTTTGAAAATGTGTATGCTACCATAATAAAAGCTACTCGGATAAGCCACCTTCAAAAACACTTCACATTTCAGAATGGAGAGAACTGACTTCTCGAGAAAGAGGATACAACTTCAGATTCAATTCTAGATTCGCTGTGCAGTTGCTTACTACAAACTTTCATTGATCACGACACTATGCACCTAAGGCACCTGGATAATATTTCGACCCAAACAGTTTGCACTCATCAGCTGTGCCAGTTGGGTGCGGCTATACTTGCGATCTGTCTTAATCCGGGATTGTACAGCCGCCCGGATGATCGCGCGTCCGCAATGCCAAAAGTGTGCAAGCGGCAGTGCATAGTCATTTTGCCTAACCAGAAGAAAAGACGCAGAATAAGATGGAAGAAGTCTTTAGAAAAAACTCTGCCACGACATGTCGCAAAGAAAGCTGTGCTTTGTTTTTCCAATAAGTTAATCCGGCTGCAATCTAACTAAAATTCTCGCTTGGCGCGTAGCAAACATCTGCTTCTTGCGCACAAAGTAGTCAGCTCAGCCGTTTATTGCTTCTAAATTTACATTTACGAGCTACTCAAAGTAAAAGCTAAATTACGATAAATGTATCTGCCCACAAAGTAAGGCCTGCGCGAGCATCGAACCCCAATAATGCCGATGATGAAAGGCATTGAAATGATTTATTCGAATGATCGAATATTCCTTCGATTCGGTCTAAAGTATAATTCGCATCCGCTCCGCGAACAACCCGCGAAGTATAACCTTTCAAAAGTAGCTAGTAAGCTAGCAATAAATCTCCTCTTCTCCTTATGAATCTTCGCCTTGTTTCTGAACATTTTGCGTGCAAAATTTCTTCCCATTTCCTAACAAGTTCACCAAAAAGTCTCTATCCACCTCCGACGCTCATAAATACGTCGTGGATATAACGCCAAATGGAAGTGTGACCTTAGTGATAGCCACTCCCTACAGCATGACAAGTCATATTATCTGCACAACGCACACGGCACCCCAAGATTTTGCGACCGCTGGCCTCTCGTGAAGGTTACGCGATCTTTCTACTGGATCTCTTGAGCAAGAGCCTATGCAATGGAATGTGGTAGGCTCGGCATGAATATCCCATAATTGAGGACGTCTCACCTTAACTAGGAAAAAAATTACAACTCACATTTTGCGACGTTTCTATACACAAGGCTTGAAGAAAAATGCAGCAAAGATTAGAGGGTGAAAGTGGAGAAAAAATGAGGAAGACTAGAGCGCATACGTAAAAGCTACACACATTCAATTCGCTTTGAATTAGGTCCGCATTCACAGCGCTGGAAAAATACTCAAATAATGTTAAATAAGATAACTTGCTCAGCATCTTCAAAGGACAGAATCCGTCCAGGCCATATCAAGAGGCTAAAACAGTTTATGATACTTTTTCAATTCAGCACAATCACAAACTGCGCTATATTCTGAATCAAAGCCTCAGGAAAACGACTTTTGTTGATGTGACAAATCATATGATGGAAACATTTTGCAGAAATTCTGGACTGGCCAAATTCGACAAATGCCTAAGTCACCAAGTATTTTTGTGCTCTGAGATTGCTTCAGTTTGCAGCTACCGAACAAAAAAGTCCATATTTGAAAGAAAGAACGGTGCTGTCTCTACGAAGCAGAGATTGTGAAGTTCAAAAAATTTAGAAATGCTTATCTTCAGGCTGATATAGAAATATGGTGCCATTTTATAATGTCTGAACACTTTTATCAAGCGTATCTCTGATCTCCACCTATCAAAATAGCACAATGCAGCATTCAATGCCGCAAAGCTTTGATCATCTTGCCGCTGGGTTCTAACGATCTCAGTTTGCGCGTTGCACATAGAATAAACTCGACGGACGTACCCACCCAAAGGAGACTATACGAAAACACCCACCGTCTTAGATAGCTTCACAAGAGAAAGTCATAAAAATAACAATGGCTAACGGTGACTCAAAATCTAAACAGTCCTATCGCTTGCACTAATCTTGATCATAACTGTTACGTTCCATAACAATCGAGACCGTACAAATTTGCAAGTTTCAAAAGCTTACTTTAGAGCGCGTTTGCACTCGTATCAAAATCTCTCACTGACTCTGATAACCCTGCATAAGGACACCTCAATCAGCATTCCTTCCCTCTTATCAGGTCATAGATGTGCGTCTATAGTACGACAAATCGATAGGCATTCCGAAGCAGATAAGTGGTTTCCCCAGCCTGTACAAAAGTGTTGCTTATCATAAAACTTGATAACGGGTGCAGACTGCTCCTGAGAGGTTGGTATCAAGGCATATTCAAGATCGCCAAGAAAATGAGAAAAATGACAAGCTTTCCTGTCATTACATATATTCATGTTCACAACTCGTACCAGCGAGAATATCGACCACTACGAGTGCATAAAGGTACGAGTACACATAAGCGGATCAACTCCGCAAAAGTCTCGCAGTGCATCACTAACAAGCAAGCTCCCGTTGAAAAGGGGAACGCGAAAGTTTCAATTTCAGAACGATTCGATGATTCCGCGATCAAGGTGTTACAACATACCAATGTTACATCCTGGATGATTTCCTCTCCAACATCTTCTGGATAGAATTTTGCACGGAATTTAAACATGAGAGTACCATCCTTCTTGACATCCTGCGATAGCACCTTTTTGTTTAGCTTCAACCAAGTAGGAAATCCTAAATAATCACTGAGGCATCTCAGAAATAAACCATCAAAGCATTCAGATGAATAGGACACTGTTAAATATTCAAAAAAAAGAGAAATGTGTTGTTGCTACCTTTTGTATCCGTATACTGCAGTCCAAAGTACCATATTTCTCGTAGCCCAATAGTTTTGACAACCTGAATGTTGCCGCAGCCTTACGAATATATAAATGCAAATATATGATCATAAATGGAAGGCATGCATTTTTACCTGGTCAAAAAGCTGTTTGCCTGTAGTGTTCGACTGGATGGCAAATTCCAGCTCAGCGTCCATGGTAGTGACGCGCACATTGATCTAAAAAATTCATTTCTGGATTTATACCTTCCAAACATTCTTGTTCAAGGATGAAGATTTATCGGAGGAAAAACCAGATAATTGATATAGCCACATCAAATCATCGTAACTAAACACCTACATCGGAAGGCGCCATGTCGTTCGTTGAACGTGCAGACAGCAACTACGCACCGAAGCAAACCCGCCCCCTTTATATGGCACGAAAGCAGCGAGCAATATCACTTGCACGCGGACCTCAGGAAAAAGAATTTGCGAGAACAGAAAGAATGCCAGATTTTTTACATGAAACACAACTGCTTTTGATGACTCATAAACAATAACACTGTGTATTGACGTAACAAATGACTTTTTTGAAAAGACGCACAAAAATTACTGAAGCTGAGTGACGAACAGTGAATCCAGCAGCAATTGTAAGACCCTTAAGCTATCATATGTAGGTATTGAAAGCAAATGAATTCCAACTCCAGCACCTAGTATTTTAAAACTTCCCTGATTGTGATTCATTTCCTGTGTCAGATCAAACTTTTTCAAAATACCCTTATCAGGGCACAGAGCCAAAAGTACTATCGTCATTATTAAATAAAACATAAGCGCTTTTAGAGAACGAGCTATCGCACAAATTTCGCATTAGTCATCAATGCAAGTCATGCGAAACATTGGTCACCAAACACCCCTCTAATATTGCTTAGGCTGTTCTTGCCTTCAAAACATGATATACACGGCACGAAGTTTTTCCCGGAAATATCACCACCCGCCCCCAATCGATGCTTGCCTTCCGGAATGATGCATTACAGCGATGTTTATCAAAATGAGCATGTACAAAATGCCTCTCTCAAGCGAACAAAGTTATAACTTTGCACATCAATATATGCACATGTAGCACATTTATAGCGATCGACAGCAGATAGTACTAGGAATGCTCATATTAACAAGCTATATAAAAATGAAACTGGAAGCCATTAATATTATTGCTATACAGCAAGTAACTTCGCTAGATCATAAACTTCCTGCGCAAAATCGGGCTTTGAATCCTTGTTAAGGTACAAACGCTTCACTCTAATCAAAACACAGCGTTTTGCAGAATGTACATTTCACGCTTCAAGAACTGGAAGAGACTGCGCCATTGATTGGGCTTATTTGCTAGCGCTCGAATTTGGTATGCCGTGGGTTCAACAGCAACATACGATGACTCACCGGTAGCCGATAACTTTTTTGCAAAGTTTATCTTTCCAAGAATCTTAAGACCTAAAACTAGTGGTCCAAACAAGCTGTATGCAAATATGCTGCATAACTGTGAGTTGCAAGTTAGGAAGTCTGCAGCTTGCGAGAAATTAGAAAGCAAAGACAACGAAAAGAAAATGAAAAATGATGGAAATTTATGAAGAATGAGTATGCAACAAGAAAAACTCACCGCTTTCTTAGACATGATGGTCTATCCTAGTTGGCACGAACCGTGCGAGGAATGGAAGGAGCAGATACGACGACACAGTAAGAGCTGGAACATATGCATAAAGTGAAACTACAGCGAATCTTACACGGAGAGAAGAGATAGGATAGATACAACGCGAGAAGACATCGCCGTCTATTACAAGCGATAAAACACAAGAATATGACTCAGCGGCCAAGTTTCTGTCGATCCGGATTGGACATTATGCAAGTGTCAGCGAGAGGCGGAATCCAATCAAATGTCACCGACCCTAACACATCAAAAGAAAAGCCGCAATCCGAGAATTGCAAATGTAAGACCATATAAATCAATGAAAAATGTCAAGAATGATCTGATTACTATATCAAATCATAGACAAAGGCAAAGCCATTAAATGCTCTTTGATCAGCAATCAATCAAATCAAGACTGTCACGTAAGGCTAATGAAGAAAAGCTATAAACGGGTGTATAGCCGAAGATAAACTAACACTGGAAATGGTGAGATAATGACAATAAACTGGCTTTCACATCTGTCATCGTCGAAATATGAAAGAAAAGCTGTGTTAGATACTCTATCGTCCATTCTCGGATAAGAGACACGAAACCGCTTTGCATATATTGTATGAAGAAGCTTGAACGAGTGGTCACAAGTTTTTACCAGTGATTATCTTATCTAGCATAATTTACTAATTGGAACTAGAAAAAAAGTGCTTGTTTTAGCAGCATGTGGTGCAAAGCGGTTTCAAGTTTCTTAGTCACATAATAGATTGCAGATATCAACAGCAAAGATTTTCACCAAGTACCTAAATTGCGCTAATGCGATAGGGTTTTTAATCTCGAACATAAGAAGCGAAGAAGATGTACTTGTGAGATGAGAAGCAAATGCCAAACCAGGTAAAAATGAAGCAGCTACAACTGGACAGGCGCTGAATGAAGCTAACCAACCGAAAAAATTCAAAAAAGGATGGCGAGAGATGAATCAGGGAGTGCGGCTGACGCATAGCGAGTGTTGACTCGTCCGATGTGGCAAGGTCAGTTTGTTGGGGCGCTGCGTCCACCACGCTCTGTGCTGGTATAGCGTGTTATCTGCTGTACAAAACTAATATGGAGACCTAAATTTTGAAGAAGAAGTGATATGGCTTGTGCAAACATTCCCTCAAACATACATCAAACAAAACAGCGGGTCATAAGCTGAAAGCAAAATGGGCTCGCTCCCTTCAAAATGTGGTGAAAGGTATTGGAAAATCTCTCATCAAATGGGGCAAGAGGAGGAACTATCACACGAGCACAGCCGAGGACAAGGAGGGACGACGCGCCGACTCCGATCTTTCGTCGTCGTTCTTCTGTCCTCTCTTGATTCGAACGGGTTTCTTGGTCGTCACTGTATGCAGAATGTGCCTCTCTATCTCAGACTGACTGCCGTTTTTTTTACGATGATGATGATGAACGAACGCTTCTACACTGGGCCACCCCGGAGGAGTCCTATAATCGCGCAGAAACGGGGGAAAATGAGCGAAGGAAAACTGTGCACTGGTATCGATCACACTTGCATGTGGTTCACTGAAAAGCGGTTGTACGTACGGACGAAATGAATGTGTCTCAGAGATGAATCAGTATTGATCGACAACAGGAGACCCAAGATGTGAATAGATTGGCCCGTCGTTTGCGCTGCGTTGCATAACGTTATGAAGATTTCTCTTCATGTTTGCCGCCCCCAAGTGCAGAATGCATGTCATCGGTGCATTTTTTGTTCGCACTTAGTGATGACATGACCTCTATGAGCAGTGTATACGATCAAAATTGGGAGTTTTGCGATTCGAATTATACAATGATATCGCCCAAAGCGACAAAATTTCCCGAAAGGGAGGGATTGCCCACCAGGATGACTCCGCCCACTCATCAGTAACCGCGAAAATCGGCATAAATTTCGCGAGAACTGATATTGCGCAGACATCGCATGGACCCGTCCCCACAACGTATATCTCACCATTTTTTTTCATGAGCGATGAGAAAAATCTTCCCTTTGAGAGCAGAAGTCTTAGGCCTTGGGTAGAGAGCAGAAGTCTTAAGGGCCGGGCATACTTCACGCGGTTTCAATCGCGACGCGATTTGGCAATATTCCAACTGTCCATAACTCACTGTAAGCACATTTTGAATGTACAGAAGGTGGGGCATTTTAGCAATCCACGCAAGTTATACACACTCTGCATGTGCATTTCGCTAGTGTTGGATCTGAAGACTTCTGGCGAAATGCCAAATCGCGTAGCGACTGAAATCGCGTGAACTATGCCCGGCCCTTTAGGCCTCGGTCAGAGTTCAGGCGTTTTTATCGCCGCGATTCTTCCAACAAGACAAACAGTTACGAATCCACTGCATTATGATCATCTTGCATTTCAGTTGTGATAGTTAGTTGCGATTGGTCGTGCTGGAGAAAAATTGAACTCTGTCCGAGGCCTTACAGGTGTCTTCACCCTAATGTCTTCAACCCTCCCGCGAACGGTTGGCTAATTACGAGCTCGGACCACTTAACGACGACGAAGGAGAGAAGAAAGGGGAAACCGGGTGGAGGAAAACGTGGTTGGTACACCGGCTGACCCTTATACGGAAGTCAAAAGAGTATCCAACGAGCCAGCCGAACCCGCAATAGTCTAAGCATTTTCGGCAAAAAGAAGTGATGGACCTCTAACAGTGGAACAAGCCGAAGTAGATGTAAATAGCTTTACTGTCAAAAATGCCTTAAAAGAATCATCGCGGTTTCTTTGTATCGTATAGCCGTCGAGATGCAATGCATACGTTATCAATCTTGCACCGCACGCTGTACTCCTGGAATCCGACGATATTTTCTTTATCAAAGCCTACTTGAACAACTCTCTCCTCATCCTGTTCCCAATATTTACCAAGCGCCTCGAAGAAACAAGGTATAAAAGGGTTCCAAGATCTTACGACACCTGTTCGCATCATTTTATGCGGCTGTACAACGTAAACAGTGTATGAATCGAAGCCAATTCCAGACTTGAAGTGAAGGGAGGTTTCTCCATAATCGCCTCAAAAGATGAGTACAGTCAATGTCAATTACGCAGACTCTTTCGCCTGGGAACTACGCATGCTTAACGCAAGGGCCGTGCATGCGGACCTTCAGTCGATGAGGTTTGTTTGAATGCCCGAGTCATACGCGGCGAACATGGCGCCAAGCTCATTGCTTTACGGAAAAGGGACCGTGGTTTGACACGGTCTGTACTCGGAACCGTAATAACTGACAGTATAAAATATCTATCACTCATTTTAAGGCTAGAAGACTCGAGTGAGCTTTGCACGCATTGCCTGGAAAAGCTTGATGTGTTTAACAAGTTTATACTTGTGATCTATCACTTCTAAAGGCTATTGCATGACGAAGGCGCAGAAGTAGTATTAGCTGAGCGGTCGCGAATGCCTGGACCTCATACGCTCTGCAGCTAATAAAGCCGCGTTCGCACCTAAAAATATCGCGCCTTCTTCATGCAGCAGCCTATAGGATTTGATACTGAAACAAGAACAAGTTCAAGCTTGTTTAGACAATGTGTGCTAAGTTCTCGAGTCTCTCCTAGTCTCTGGCAAATCATACATCCTTTTCAGGTTTGCGCCACCTCGTCAGCCTTTTTTGTGGAAACAGGTGTAACAGGTTAGTTTCGACAAAAGCACAAACGTTTCCGACTTCGTGCAACTTCTAGCTTCTACGTCTTCCTGCGGCTTCCACTCATTTTGAAATTACAGTGAAAAGTTCGAGATTGTGCTCTGAAACGGATTTTTCGCTATGGTCAGAAAAAGGTAAGTTCCTTGTAAATAATATCATTTATCTGATTGTGCGATTTAGAGACTCGTCATCGCTTTGTACACATTGTCTGAACAAGCTTGAACGTGTGGTAATCCATCTCATTTAGCATTACCCAGTGTTTGGAATCAAGAAAGAAGAAGCTCAACCTTGTTCAGACAAGTTTCGAGTCTCTTGGCCTCATTATCAGAAGAGATGACACTAGATAGCTTTAAGATAGGAAGTTGCTTTAAATCGTTTCTTCCGTAGAAAGTGAAGGGATGGTAAGGGATATAGAGAAAAAAAAAAGGATGGAATCTAAAACAGCAGCCGCAAAGATCATAGGAAAGACGAGAATAGCACTGCAATAATTTAAAATCTTCCTTTTGGCGCTTCCCACTGGCAAGATTTCGCTTTGGGACCGCTGGATCGAATCTCCGGAAGGCGAGTATTACCGTCCTTTTTAGGTAGGTGCCAGAGTAAGCGAATATTTTGTTCAAATTGGGGTCCCGCGCAGAACTGGCATCACTAATCATTGTGGCATAATGCCAACTTGGCGTTGTGCCACAATGATTAGTAACGCCAGTTCTGCGCGGGACCCCAACTTGAACAAAATATTCGCTTACTCTGGCACCTACCTTACGAGCTTTTTAGAGTCAGGATTTGGGTATCGCGATTGTAAAGAAAGTGAACATAGATACCTAGAAATCAATTTGAAGACAACTTGCACACCAAATTGAGCCAGACTTTTGATGCGCCTTTCGGATTTTTATCCTCGTCTCGTTTCTTCCCGGCAACGTTGCCTGCAATGTTCTGCCCATCATCACAAGCGAGTTTGCCTACGCATAAAATTGCTGCGAATCTACTTTTAAGCTAATAAGAAAGTCGCATTTTGCGCACGAAATATTTCGTCAAAATTGACAAAGTATGCACGGCGACGTTGTTGTCTGCATTATAGACAAAACAGGGTGAATCGGCACAACAAACCGCGCCTAAAGGTTGGAATGAAGGCAGAACGGACGTTCAAAAACAGGGTTTTCTTCGGACCTCTTGTTTTGATTGAGGAGTTGAGTGTGGCGGCAAAAGGCTGTCAGCATTTGAGTAGACTTCAAATTCTAGGACGTAGGTGTGCTGGGATTAAATTTGGAAAGTGCTAGAGCCAAATACCTCGTGGAAGGCGTGGGAGTAGCGAGGCAGTGCGTGAAAAGTGGAAGCGCCGACCAGCACAGGAAAAGCCGTAGACGCCACGGGCGGCGCCGCGTTATGGAGCAAAGCTACACCGCATTTGCCTGTGGTATATCCTGAGGGCCCTTTGCGTTGCGTCGCTTCTAA